GTTCCAAGGGATTTGATGCCCTCTTCTGGCCTCTGAGAGCACTGCACATATGTGGTGCACATACACACATACAGGCAAAACACTAAGATAGACAAAAGTAAAATCACTAAAATTAGCTACAGAAGGCAGCATGCAAGATAAGCAGAGATCAGCCAGAACCAGACAGCACTGAGAGCTGTTGGTGATGGATGACAGGCAGATGCAGAGTGCTTATCATGTACAATCTTTCCCAGGCTACACAGTGAGATGATGATGGTGGAGATGTGTGACCTTGTAGACTATGAGTGAATAGAAGTTAAAAGCTGTGCCCTGACCTGCCATAGCCATACCTCTAGGAGGTGATCAGTGTCCTAACTGAGTCCTTTGTGTGGCCCACTGATCTCCTCCTGCCTCTCTAAAACATGTCGCCGTTGACGCTTCTGAGCGACTCTGGGATGAGCTGGTTCTCAGGGGAGAGTCGAGGCTTGGTGAGAACCGGGCCCCACAGACAGGTTCTGGAGTCCTGGGCCTGGAGCTAGGGTTGGTGAGTAGGGACAACTCTGATGTCCAGATGAATGGCCATCAAATGCCCAAGGCTGGGCTTTAACTTGAAGTTTCTGCACACACCCTCCCAAATCCACTTAGGGCAGCTTTTACATACATGTAAGTGTCAGACACCACATTTCTATAATTTAAAACTTTTAAGAGAAAAATTATATTTTCCTCTTCAAGAGGTGCTTTTAGGATTCTCTTCCTCTTAAAACATTTGGTTTTTTGAAGCTGGAAAGTCCCACATTATTTGACATTGAGCCTAACTTATTGAGCCGTTTCTTGGGATTGACTTGTTAACGTTACTAATGTTGACATCTTGTGGTCATCATAGGTAACTGCATGCCAAGTCTGGAGCGACGTTATGTCTGCCAGACTACAAGCCTCTGGTGACCCCATCCCGGGTTCTGCTCTTCAAAGTACTTAGTGATCATGAAGCTGATCAGGCCCTACCTCCAAGTAACTACATCTCGGAGGACTCGCCTCTGTCTTCCCCAAAGCTTTGTGAATCCCTTCCCTGACTGAGGCTCTTTTCCGTTCTGTACATTGCCAGGAGAGGCCATTGACCCCTGCAGGCTCTGATGCGCCCCGAGACTCTGTCCTCAGCCTGCCAGCGATGATGCTCACTAGATGATGCTCACTAGATGATGCTCACTAGATGATGCTCACTAGATGATGCTCACTAGATGATGCTCACTAGATGATGCTCACTAGATGATGCTCACTAGATGATGCTCACTAGATGATGCTCACTAGATGATGCTCACTAGATGATGCTCACTAGATGATGCTCACTAGAATGTGTTTTAGAAAAGCTTCTTTGATCCTTGAGTGTTTGTTTTTGTTTTGTTTTTTATGATTTAGTTTTCAACCAGGATTTGTGTTGTTTTCCTTTTCTTTTGTAAGAGTTTATCTATCGACCAATTGTCTGCTTTACACAGGATCTTCCTTTAGGACTAGGATCTAGTAACTCAGTCAGGCTCTCCATAGAGCAATAACTGAATTTATATTACATCGTCATCAAAAGTGTAAGTGAAGCAAAATGGTCATTTCTCTGAAAAAGCTCTAGATGATGAATTTACCAGTGAAAAATTCTAATTTTGCCTTTGGCAAAGGATAACAGTAAAAAAATGAGTGGTGGTGATGGCAATGCCTTCAATCCCAGCACTCGGGAGGCAGAGGCAGGCAGATCTCTGTGAGTTGAGGCAAGCCTGGTCTATAGAGTGAGTTCCAGGACAGCCAGGGCTACACAGAGAAGGCCTGTCTGGAAAAACAAAACAAAACAAAGAACGTTGTAAATGTTTTTTAAGCCTGCAGAAGCCCACCAATCAGATCTGCATTCCCCACTTCAGGCCTTCATTATCTTTCGCACAGCTGTGATTCCAGAGTCACAAATGACCTCCTCCAATTGACCTTGAGCCTCTCCCACCGTCTCTTCCCTTCCCCTCCCTCCTCTTCCTACCCCAGGCCTCCCTCCCTCCAAGGGTAGAAACAGAAATCAACTTACAGCAGTGGTTACCCACACAGCACGCATCTAACACATGCAGTCATTTCTTCCTGCAGCCCTCAGGGAAAGAAAATACCTAAGCCTCATCTCTGGGCTTGTCTTCTGTCCCTACTGAAGGAAGTGAAGGTCCCACTCAGTCCTGAACTTGGATTTGTTACCACTGACCAAGGACTCGAGGACTATCAGAAGATGACGCCACTGTACCTGGAGGGAAACAGCCTCTACCTTGGGCCTAATATCTCCAGGCAACCATGGTCATGGTCCTGAACACACATCCTTTTGTCTATGCTTCGTTCTTAGCAATGGTGTGATCCTCCTCCTCTCCCTCCTCTTCCTCTCCCTCTTCCTCTTCTTCCCCTTCTGTTAGTCTTTATCCGCTGAGTTGTGAGGCCCTGTCTTTCTTTGGGGCCTCTCTATTCCATGCCTTATCTCCGCTCTTCATGACATTGCCTTGATTCAAAACCCCCATGTCCCATTCTCCCTGATCCCTCCACAGCAATCTTTCTAGAGCAACATCATATACTTAGTCTTCAACCTCTTTCAAAACTATCACCTTCAAGATAAAATTCAACCTGGGGGAGGGCCTAGCCCTTGCCCTGGACGAATGGCAGACTCTGGAGATCCTCCATGAAGGGCCTCACCCTCCCTGGGGATCGGAGTGGAGATTGGGTGGGGGGCTGGGGAGCCTAGTGGGAGGTGCAGGGGAGGAGGGGAGGGAGAGGGACCTGGGATTGACATGTGAAGCAAGCTCATTTCTAACTTAAATTAAAAAAAAAAAAAGAGGAAGAAAGAGAGATAAAATACAAGTTCCTCTGCTTGATGCATGAAGCTAAGGGCAACATTCAGCCTGAAAGCTGCTGCTGCCTACAACATTCAGTAGCACAGGATAGCCCGGTTCTGGTCTCCTCACAGGGTCTGTGATGTCTTTGGTTGTCACAAGTGGACTACTGCTACTGTCATTTGGTGTGTGAAGTCCAGAAATGCTGACAAACAAGGCACAAGACAGCCCTGTGACAAAGAATTACCTGAGCCAAAATAATCAAGGGTGCTGTATTAAGAACCCTTAACCAGAAGCAGAGTCTAGGAGGAAGCCCAGTTCTGCTTCTTGGAGCTGTGTGGATTTGCCATGAATAAATAACATAGACTGGTGACAAATAATAAAAAGCATGTAAGATGTTCAACAGACAGTACTGAGGTGTAGGTGACAGTGACAGGTAACAAGCTCAGTTCTGAGGTGCTCCTGTTCTTTTAGTGACACACTCCACGTATGAGAGACACAGGGTTCATTTGTATCTCCCATCCCCCTGTTCTGAGTGCCCAAACCTAAGGTAAGGATTTCTGTAGGCTAGCCAAGTGCTCTACTACTGAGCTGTGCCTCCAAGCCCAAAATTTTCTTACACACACACACACACACACACACACACACACACACACACACACACAAATGACTCTGAGGTAGGTATTAGCATACCTTGGCAGTAGGGATTAAGATGCCCTTGTGATAGGAATGAGAATGGGCCGGCATTGGTTGCTATGTTTGAAGACGGTTTTGGCCCACGTTACTCTCCTCTCCCAAGACAGTGTCTCTATCCTTAAAATAAACTAGCAAGTTTTTTAAAATACAGATTCTGTCGACTGCAGAGATGACTCGGAGTTAAAGAGCACTTTCTGCTCTTCCAGAGGTTCGATTCCCAGCACTCACAATCTTAACTCCAGTACCAGAGGATCTGATGCCCTCTTCTGTCCTTCATGGGTAGTGCATGCGTGTGATACAGGCAGTCAAAACACCCATACATATATTGTTTGAGAAACTTACACTATGGGAATTGGGACTCTACCCAAAGTAAACCAAACGAGGTTTTCTGAAGATGTTCCCAAGCATGTACATTTTAAAGCCCTACCCTAGAAGCTCTGGTTTGGTAGCCTGGGCAATGGTGTTGCCAAGGATCTTCAAGGGCTGGAGTACATAGTCAGGTAGGCACCTGCTGACAAAGGCCACCTCAAGGGACTGTCACTTTGTCATCTGGGTCCTTGCCTATAGGGCTTCCCTTGAAGCCCATGGCCCATCTGAGCGTCACTCATGAAACTCATTGCCCAGGCTGAACCCAGCTTTGAATCGAGATGTCTATGTAGGGTCCTGACATTGGTGACTGTAACTGATCCCTGAGTTGACTCCACCACACAAACAGGCCACTTAGCCTTTGGTGCCAATGCCTGCTCCTTGAAGTATGCTCCAGCCCAAGTTAACCTACATAAAACCTACTGTAACCTACTTTTTACCACTCAATTCATTTCTTTGAGGATAGCCTTACACCTACAAGGCTGGGAGAACTATTTGTCCTACTATAACACCTTATGTATATGAAAGGCAGAATGCGTAATTGAACAAATAATTGGAAGAACATGCATTCATTCTGTCCCGATTTTTCCTTTTTAATTCTTTTTTAGTTATGTGTATTAGTATGTGTTTGGGGGAGTGTGCACATGAGGGCAATGCCTGAGAAGGCCAGAAGGGGGCACCAGCTTTCCTGGAGCTGGAGCTAACAGGCTGTTGTCAACCACCTAGCATGGATGCTGAGAGTCCAACTCAGATCCTCTGGAAGAGCAGTATGCAGATTTAATCACTAAGCCATCTCTCCAGCCCCATTGCTGGGACCTTCATTATCACATGGATGACATCAGGACTGGGTCAGTTGCAAAGATTCACTAGAGGTAAAGGGATTCTGCAGTATGAACATCGTTATAAGATCATAGCTACAGTAGAGTAGAGGACCTGACATCCCAGGTTGGAGGCTGAAACAGAAGTAGGATGCTTTTCAGAACACAGTGGTGCATGGCTATAATCCCAGTACTCAGGATGCAAAGACAGGGTGATTTTAACTCCAAGGTAAAGCTGCAGCTCAAAGCTACACATTGTTCCACAAGGAAGAAAATTGGAAGAGAAACAGCAATGCCAAAACATCCATAAACTTCTGACATTTTTATTACATATAACACGACTTTGGAAAGGCGCATAGGCCTTGCAGGACCTGCGAAGCAAGGGGTTCTGAGTGGGGGGCACTGAATTCTTCACAATTAGGATATCAACAAAAGCTAATGTGACTTCAAATGCTATTATTTTCAGACACTATTTACTCCCTACAGGTTGTCCCCCATGACTAATTCAAGAGGTTTAATAAGGTATTTCTTTTAATACTGGGTTCAGGGAGTTCTGCGCCCTACTGAAAAACTGCTTGGGGCACAACCAAGATTATTCATTTCTTTTAAGACCTACAATTGATGTGAGCAGGACCTGAGAGGCCACATATATGCCTGTGTCACTAGGTGTTGATGCCCATGGCCTGCTCCACGGCACTGGTATCCTCTGCAGGAGGTTTGGGGAGGTCCAGCATGGTGGTCGATTTGTCCCTGGGATTCCCGGTAAGCAGGATCCAGTGGTTCTTAGGCTTTTCAGCTCTGTGTGAATCCTGATGTGTATGAGCTGCAACCTCAACTTCCTTCCCGAAATAGGTCCTGAAGCAAGAAAGAATGGATTCCCGTTAGATACTGAGTAACAGTGCTCAAGAACGTTTGCTCATCCCTCCTAGAAAATTCCTCTTGCATCAGACCACTGTACAAAGCCCAATAGAGCCCCTAAAATGTGATACATATGCAGGAATATTTCACCCATTTGCAGAGGTTTAGGCACATAGGGTCCATTTGTAGCCAACATTCTCCCATCAGGGGAGACTTTACTGAATAACAACACCAAAGTTCTACACAAAGCAGGATTTCAGCATCACAATTTATAATTATGATATTTAAAAGTATCAGTTACAATTGCAGTCAATAGACAATGTGGGGACATGATAGGTATCTCTGCCAAAGCATTATCAAAATACAATACATTAATCTTCTTTAGTGTTAAAAATAGGTATTTGTAAAATCAAGTCTGTTGGATTCTAAATTTAGACCAATCAAGATGATAAACATATGGACCACTCCTGAATTTAAACTAAATTTTTTGTTTTGACTGTCTTAATCAATGTAATAACCTCTTTATGAATTATAAAATAAAATATGTCCCTTGACAAAATGAGATATTTGATGTACCAACTGAGTGGTTATCTTTGAGCAGAAATATTCAAATAATGTTGAGCATTAACAAGTATTTTCAAACATTTGACTTGTTTAACATGCTTAAGAGTAGATGTTGTCAACAATAAATGGAAACAAAAATTGGTCTTTACTTTTAAATAATTTTTATAAACCTTGGTGATAAAAATAAATCAATGTCATTGTTCTTAATTCAGCACCTAAAGACCTGCACCTCGCGTGACTAGACACAGACTCTTAGTCAGACATCTCTGCTTTTACCTCTTGACCTGAACCTACTGTAGCATTCTATTCTGCACCCAGCAATGCAATACCTTAAGGAGAGATGCCGATGGACCGCCAGGGCTCGGTTTGTGTGGCGATGATAGATGACAAGTTTTTCATTTGCCTTTACAGGATAGGAAGAGAGAGTATTATTAGCATTCTGTCTGATGCTAATCTGTCTCTGCTAATCTAAAAAATACTCATTTCAATGTAGTACACATATAACCTACAAGGCTGGGGGACCCTGATGGGTTTGATGAAATGCATCATGGTAGATGTCTACGTGGTAGAATAATTATTCAAAGTCATATTGGAGAAGATTTTTGACAATGTGACATATGACTAATGGTGTTAAGTACACACACATGCACACACATGTGTGTATATATTCAACAGTTCCTATTATGTGTGTGTGGTAGGCATACACGTGTGTGTGGATATGCCTTGTACCTGTGTGTTCATGTATGTGGAGGCCAGAAGAGACACTGGGTATCTCTCCATTGTGTTCTACCTTATTCTTTGAGGAAGGATCCCTCAGTGGCCCTGGAGATGACCACCTAGACTGACTGGACAGAAAGCCCCAGGACTCTTCCGGCCTCTGCCTCCCAGCACTAGGATTACAAGGTACATTCAACCTCACCTGCCTTTTACATGGGTGCTGGGATCCAAACTCAGGTCCTCACACTTGTGCAGCAGTGTGCAGGACTCTACCCACTGAGACACGCATAGCTGCTCGGGATATCATTCTGGAATATGGGTGTGTGTACATATAGACACATATGTATGAATGTATGTATACGTATATATTCATATGCATAGAAAAATAATAAAGTGGTGGCTTCTGGAAAATTGAATTAATACTGGTGATGTTAATATTTGTACCTGAGGACAGGGACTTGACTGTATATCCCAAGTTAGCCTAGAACTCATGATCCTCTTGCCTCGGATGTGAGCCACCACAGCTGGCCAAAGAAATAATATCTTATTGTCCTGACTCCTATAAGATGAGCACCACTAGAAGGAAAAACAGCAGCCCCTGGCATGTGAGCTGGTCTGGTACCCAAGGCTAAGCCCTTCTGGTGAGCAGAATCCATGTCACAGAATTCCACATCAGTTAAAACCACTATGATCATAATGGGTCTGGACAGGACCAAGACCACCCAGTCACATATGAACCAACAAAACATGAACATCAACCAAGCCAGAAAATCCCCAGCAGACAGGCGTACCCAGCGGTTTTTTTTTTTGTTTTTTTTTGTTTTTGGTTTTTGGTTTTTGGTTTTTGGTTTTTGATTTTTGATTTTTCTTTATCAATACTCTCAGTAGGCTCCTGTCAGCTCTCCCCCGGGAGAGGAGTTACTGACATGCTCAGTTGTAAGATCTCCCTCGCCTTCCTGGCAGTTTCCAAGCCCCAGCAATATCCCATTGCTGGAGCTGTCGCCAAACATGCCTGACCAAAAATCTCTCAGGATCCTTTTTGGCAGCTTTTACTTGAAGCATCCCAGGTCCCCAAAACACATTTGCCCTGGCCTCAACAGCTGATGTCCCCAGCCTGCTGAGCCACAGGTGCAGCTGGAGGTCTGCTGAGACAGCAATAGCATGTGTGAGGTAGCTTGGTGTGTTGGGGGATGGTGGGGAGTGGAGGGGGGTCTTTTCTGGACGGCTCTGTGTTTAGCTGATATGCAAGCTTGCCTGGGTGAGGTTCAGAGACCTGCCTGGACCATGGAGCAAAGAATTCCTGCACCCACACTTCTCCTACGAAGAAACACAGCTACAGCCCCCTGACCACAATTTGCTGGCTGCTGCTCATGCAAACTAACCTGCTGGTCCTTCAAACAATCCTACGGGGATATCATGAACACCTCTAACTTACAGGGGCACCGACTAGAGGAAATGAAGACCGTACCCACCACCATCCTAGGAAAGCCAAGCTAAGAGAGGATGGCTACAGAGAAAATTCTGCCGAGCTTCCTTCATTGTGGATAAGGTGACCACCCATCCACCCTGTACAACTGGGATCCCCTGCCAGAGCTTTGAAGAAATGGACCCACTGTGTGGAGCAGATTCAGAGGAAGCTGTGACTGTAGCCCCTCCCATGGCTAATCCAAGCCAGAGGCCTCCAGGGATTGCTAGGGAGCCCTCCCTCTCAGCAGCAAGCTTGCTCTGTGCCCGTGGGAGCCTCCCAAAAGGATCTTGCCTCATGCTCTGTCACACCTGGTCCAGAGTCTAAAACAAGAATGATCAGGGACTGTGTCTGCCTTACTAGCAGCCTCCTGTCTCCATCCTGTTCCTCAGCTTCCCAGATGAGAACTTAGGCCAAGCAAAGTGGTGCCCGTTCTGATGCTTGGAAGGATGGAGAATCTCAGGCCAGCCTGAACTACAGTGTGAGCAAAGAAAGGAGAAGGGAGGAGAGAGAGGGGGGAGAGAGGAAGGAAGGAGATAAGGGAGAGCAGAAGAGAAACAGATGGAGGGGGACAGCAGGGGGATTCATAGGAAAAGAAAGAAGGGAGGGAGGGAGGGAGGGAGGGAGGGAGGGAGTTAGTCCTGTACAGACTAGATTGGGAAGCAAGCGCATTGCATGCTGGGATCTCATACAGCGCTGGCAGCCTGTGTTGGGAGTGCCCAGGGACCCTGGGTCTTCTGTACTGCTCTGGTGGTGAGTCTAACCTGCAGCCAGGGTTGAGAGACAGGAATGCGGACTGCTGCCTCAGAACAAACCAGTGCTGTCCACATGGAAGTTATCATGAAAGAAAAAGAGAGTCTTCTTGCTATTGAAGCTACAGTGAGCCTCCACTTGACCAGCAGGTGGGAGCCACAGCCCTTCCTTTCACAGACCCCAGGCCCCAGTGTCCCACGTGCCAAGCTCACCCTGACTGGGTAGCCTTCATATTCCAGGCGCAGCTGGGGGTCGAGGAAGGTAGCCTGCCAGCAGTTCAGATGGGAGGCCTGGTCCGTCAGAGTCACCTCCTGCAGCCAGGACTTCTTAGAAGACTTCAGAAGGGTCCTGTGGTCACTTGATAAATACAGCTGGAAACCGCACATGATCTTAGTCACGGCTACCAAGAAAGCCAACGGGACTGCACAGCAAGCAGGCACAAGAGCAGTTTCTAGAACCCAGTTCCTACCCATCCTGTAAGAAAGCACAATTCTCCCCTTCCTTAGAAATACACTGTCAGAAGAGAATTTCCCCCTCTCCCTTCCTGTGCCCTTCTTTCCTGTGATGGTTTGAGTGAGAATGCCCCATGGTCATATGTTTGAAGACGTGGTCCCCAGTTGGTGGGGCTGCTTGGGAAGGATTAGGAGGTGTGGTCTTGTTGGAAGAGGTGTGTCACTGGGGGTGGTTTTGAGGTTTCAAAGACCCATAGCATTCTCAGTTAGCTCTCTATCTTTCTGCTTTCTGCTTAAAGATCACATAGGAGCTCACTGTCTCAGAACCTTCCCTGCCTTCCTGATGTCCTTTCCCTAACATGATTGCCATGGTCCCCTAACACTCTGGAACCATGAGCCTCCAAATTAAATGCTTTCTTTTCTGTTGCCTTGGTCATGGTGTTTTGTCTCAGCAATCGAAAGATAAGACATTTTTATCCACACTCCATTTCCTGTTCCCATTCTCTTTCAAAGCGTGGGCCCTAGGTCTCTATCTTATGCACTATAGACAACATTGCAGAAACTGGTCACCTGAGATGATGTACTCTTCAGCCTGGCGCCATCACAGCGGGCACTTGCTCGTGACTCCACAGTGAACCTGACCATCTGGAATCCATGTTCCCATTGGGAATAGAGATCGGCTGTGTGGCTACATTTCTCAGGAGCCATCCCATCCTGCCTGAAGTCCAGGGTGTTCTGTCTTTGTTAGCTCTTTGCTTGTCCACCTCCACCACCTTGAGCATTCAGGTGGTTTGTCTGTCTCTTAACAAGTTTTTAGTGTGTTCAAAAACTTTACATTTATTTTATTTATGCATATGAGTGTTTTGTCAGCATGTATGTATGTGTGTTGTGTGCCTGCTCATGTCAGAAGAGGGTTTCAGATCGTCTGGGGCTGGTTGTGAGTGCTCTTAACTATTGAGCCCTTTTGTGAGTGCTTTTTATCCATTAAACTGTGCGCGAGGTATGGCAAGGAAGGCCTACGTGAGTTATAGCCTTCTGCACAGTTTCTACCCAGCAAGAGGGGTGATGGGCTGTGGATAAGAGAGGTCCCTTGTGATCCTCTGGATGTTGGCTGTCCCCTTTGTGACTGATGATTCCCAAGGTGGGAGATGAGACCTGATGAGAGGATCTCCTATGCTAGAGGTGTTCCTCAGAAGCCAGATCAAACCAGGGAGACCTGGACCAGGGCTGGCACTGAGAATGAGCAGATGGAGGAATTATACCACGGAGAAAGGGTGAGCTGGCCCTGGATAGACAGGGGCTTTGCTGCAGTGACATTCAAAACCAGAGAGGGAGAAGTCACAACACCAAGACCAGTGCTCCAACCACGTGAAGTCACTCATAAAACCTGATCAAGAGCTAAAACACCTTCCCGAGAGAAGTTGAGAGACGCATTACAAGAGTAAAAACTTCAAAGTTGTTAATAAAAAAAGCACTCAGTTTTACAGTGCCAACCAAACACAAAGTGACTTTTCTGTGCATAGGCAAAGAGACTGGAAAAGATAATTATTGCACTTAAGTCAAAGATTAATTCCTAATATAATCCAGACAAAGAAAGATAATGGGGGGGAACAAAGATCCGTCAAAGTGTATTACAGTGCTGTATAATTACAACACTATAGCCCTGGAGTAAAAATAGATGATTTCAGTGGATCAAAATAGATTATTCAGGAGGACTATGTGGTGCACAGGATAATTTAATATATTCTTAGGGAAACACAGTGTGCCAGGAGGAAGAATTATTTCAGAGCTAACATGTGGGATGGGTGGTCATTTGGGAAACTCAAGTAAAAAACCTTTTACCAAAGAAATCTCAAATGTTTTAGAGACTAAATTTAAACAAATGCCAGACTGTAAACATCTAGAAATTAAAAGTTGTTTTACTGTGTATCATATCTTTAATGGTGTAAACCTTAAAAAGAAAGGCAACGGAGGGGCTAAGAAGATGGGCATGAGAGGACGGGGAGGAAAGGGAACTGAGATTGGTGTGCAAAATAAGATTGTTTTTAATTTAAATAAAAAATTATTTATAAAAATAAACAAGATGCCTCGGTGGACAAAAGCAGTCCCTGCACAAGCCTGATGGCCTGCGTTTGCATCCAAGGAAGCCACATAAAACAGCTGGATGCGGTAGTGTTTTACATCTGCAATCCCAACAGCACTGTAGTAAGACAGGAGGCAGAGATAAGAGAATTGCCTGGGATCAGTGCTCCAGCTAGCCTGGAATACACAGTGTGAGAAACCAGAAAGACCCTGTCTCAAACAAGGTAGAAAGTGAAAACTGACTCCTAAATGGTGTCCTATGCACACATTCACACACACGCACACGCAAACACACATTCACGCACGCACAGAAATAACTTCAAAGGAAAACTGATAGATTGATCTCAAAATGCAGTTAAAGCAACTACAATTTAAATTGGAGGAGGTGATATTAGCAGCAAATATGACAATGCAATCGTCCATCCAAAGGGCAGTAGAGAGACAAAGAACACATGGTCCCCAGTGTTAAGAGAAGCCTTTTCCTTGAGTGAAGCCGTCCCGCCAGCCTGGTTCCAGAGCCACATTAGTCCCAAATAAACACACAGGAGGCTATATTAATTATGAAGCTGTTGGCCTTGCTTGTCCCTTACTGGCTAGCTCTGCCTTAAGTAATTACCCCATAATTGTTAATCTAAGTATGCTTCTTACCGGAGAATAGTTCCCGGCGTCCTACCCCCATGGTGTCACATGTTGACTCTCTTGTCTCTCTCCTTCCCAGAATCCTCCTGGACTCCTAGTCCCTCCTATCTAGGTTTTCTATTGGCCAGACAGTACTTTATTGACAAATGCACAGGCAAATAACAGGACTTCCCCAACACCCCAGGGCAAAAGAATGAGGAAGGCAAAGAGAGGGATAAAAATGAGAATATAGGAGAGTGGAGGAGGGCAAAAGTTCAGGGATGGAAACAGGTACTACAGCGTTTACATATCCTTTCCTGCTTGTTCATGAGATTAGCAAAGATTTAAATTATGATGTTTGTCACATTTTAGTGCCGTTTGCATTTAGTGTTGCTGAGGGTGCAAACTGGCACTGCTGATTAAGAAAGAACTGGTTACATCTTTAAAAAAAGAAAAAACAAACAAACCAGGATCAATCACTCTCTGAAACGTAGGCTGGCCTAGAGTTTGTGGCAATCCTCCCAAGTACTAAAATTATAGGTGTGTGTCACTATACCCAGCTTTCAATACTTCTAATTGTATTCACATTCTTAAAATCAATAATTCTAAGCCAAAACAAAACCATATTCTGAAGATAGACGCACTAACTAGGCTTTGAGGGGGGTGAACTTTAAGCATTTACACACACACACACACACACACACACACACGGAACTTTATACGTGATAGAAACTAGAATAACAAACCCAATTAGTTAGGTATGGTAGCACACACCTGTAACCACAGTATTCAGAAGGCTGAGGGAAGATCCCTAGTTCAAGGCCAGCCTGAGTTGAATAGGAAGACCAACAGAAGAGAGAAAAGGAAACTTCTGAAAATAGAATCAAGGCTGGGTAACAATAATACTGCCACACAATGATATATTAGGCATTCCTTAAATGTAGTTGTTAAGAAGAGCTTTGAAAATGCTGGAGTAGAGAGAACCTGGGTGTTCATTATGATCAGAGCAGAGTTTTGGTTTCTGAAGAAGACACATAGAAAAGCACAAATAGAAGAAGCCAGATGCTGATGTGCTCGTCTCTGGGTGCTGCACCCCTGTCTCAATGGCTTAGTGTTTCTTTCATTTTCGCATATAAACTCAGGCTGCAGATCAACACCTACACATGGCATAGTTTGACTAGCACCCTTCGCTTGACTTAGTGGTACCAAAAAAACTGATGATACAATGTCATATCAGCCAATACTGGAATCTCCTATTGGTCTCATTTTCTCTAATTGCTGTCATCAAATCCTGATAAGACACAGCTTGCAGGGGAAAGGGCTTATTTGGGCTCACAGTTTAAGGAGTTAATCTTTAATGGTGGGGAAGGCTTGGCAGCACGAACAGCTTATGGCTACGGCTGTGCATATGGGGCCACTGATTCGGTCTCAATGAACTGAGAGATTGGGCCAGAACTATAAGGCCTTCCCCCGACTGCAAATCAATTCCTCCATCTGGTCCCCAACTCCCAAAAGAGCACTGCCAGTTGGGAACTCAGTGTTCAAACACAGGAGACCATGGGGGGACATTTTACATTCAAACCATAACAATGCATAGCTGAACTTCTATTTTCCCAGTGTTCTTATGTCAGAAACTCACTTGAAAAAAAATCTGAATTAATATGTGTAAAGCATTTACAGCATTACCTGGTACAGTGCTCAAATCTTATGAGTCACTGACTCAGTTAATTTACACAAATCCCTATTACATAGTTTGCATATGAAATTCAAGAGTGAGTTTCTCTGGTTCTGTTGTCCGTTTTGTTTTGTGGAGATAAGTCTCACTCTATAGCCCAGATGAGTCTCAAACTCGTGGCAATTCTCCAGCCTCAACTTCTCAAGTGCTGGCTTTATAGGTGTGTGTCATCACACCTGACCTATATATTATCTCCAAAGTAAAGGAGGATCTCAGAGACGCAAGCTTCCTGCACCTGCTAACCCTTATTGCTTCTTAGGAGAAAAAAGAAAACTAAGCAAAAGCTTAAAATGCCAGGGCTGGACACAATGGTCCGTGCCTATAGTCCCATATATTTGACAGGATGCTGAGACATAAGCATCATTTTGAGTCCAGAAGTTCAAGAATAGTCTGGCAAGGTATAACTTGCTGGAATCGGTGGCATATGACAAATGTCAGTTAACTGAATCATTTAATTTACTGTTTAAAGTGGTATACACTTTTGCCATTTGACAGCTGTCTACCAGAAGGACTTTCCTCCCTTCACTCCTTAGCTTTTAAGGGTTAGGGATGTTGTTTGCTTGTTTGTTTTGCTATTTGCAAAGTTAAGAAGAAAGAATCGGGTACAAAATGCTCAGTGGGACCCGCAGACTGAGTGCACAGTGACGGCAGAAATGGAGCCCTCGTCCGCACAGCCCCCTCTGGAGGTAGCCATTGGCCGTCTTGGTAAACAGGAGTGATAGATGACAGTGGGCACACACAAGAAGACTCACCGTCTTGCATTCCAGCCCTGCTGCTATCCCGAGGCAGAAGTTCTGCCCGTATCTAAGGACTTGGCCCGCAGAACCACTGCTCGTGCTGTCACTGGAGGGTTAGAGCGACAGGAGAGAGTGAGGACTATGCCTTACCATCATTTTCACACTTTCCTTGACAGCGTATATTCACATACCTACCATACTAAATTAAATAACAAAAGTTCCTCTCCAGTCTGTTTTGCTTGCCATGGCAAAGACCTCAGTCATCTGAGATGATCTCAAGAGACGCTGATGAGAATCACGTGCTGGAACCCATCATCAATTTGTGTGCCCATCATCAACTTGTGCACCATTCATTGAAATATTCTTGAACACCAACTAAAAGGTCTTTTCCCTCTTTTTTGTTCATTAATCTATTCATGTCTTTGTTTTTTGATGTTTGAGATGGTCTCACACTTAAAGCTCAGGCTGACCTTAGACTCACTATGTAGCCCCAAACTGACATGGAACTTGGAGAAATCCTCCTGCCTCAGCTCCTAGGAGTGCTGAGGTTACCGTGACCAGCTATGAAAGTTCTTTTATGTTAGCCTCAGCATTCAGCCAGCATGAACATGATATCCCCATGCTATCTGTCTCACAGATCAAATCCTTTGACCAGAGTGGACTAAGCATGCTGTGTTAACATCTGCTAAGAAATTCTGGTCATGTGCACTGTCTTTTTTAGACAGTCAAGGTTATACTTCTGCAGGCATTTAATACAATCTTCCCTCATAATCTTCCAGGGACAGATAATGGTCACCAAGTTTAAGTTGTTTTACCACAAACCATCTGTTCTGAAGAAAAATTAAGTGAGGGTGCATAAGACAGGCTCGAGTCTTGTCACTAAATTATTGTCACAAAGTCTTCAACAAAGTTAAAGTGGAGTTTTAATTGTGATTATATGTCTCTAAAGGTCTCGTTGATCATTTCCAAAACCTCAAGTCAATTTCTGGTAGATGACTGATTTTAAAAGAGTAAAACCCGTCCTGTGTAGCCATTTATTAAATGAAGCTAACATAACATTGAGAAGACAAAGCATCCTGTAGCACTATTTGGAAAATCCTTCTTTGATTCCAGGAAAAATATAAGTTCAAATTTCTGGATCTGACCATCATGAGCAAATGGTTTGAACTGAACACAAGTAGCTAGTTAACTTGCTGTCTTAGGCAAATCGGTGTGTAAAGGGCCCTCAGCAATATTTCTCAAGTAAGCAGGCAAAGCAAGACTTCAGAAAATGTTCACAAAACCTTTGCCTGCAGTCATCATTGCCTGATCCCAGTGTCCACATCCGTGTTTGTCCATCTGTCTGTGTGTTTGTGTGTGTGCACAGTGGTATTCCTCAGGTGCTGTTCGCCTCAAAAAAAAAAAAAAAGATTACCAAAGTGTCTCGTTTGGCCTGAAATTCACCAAGTAAGTTGGGCTGGCTGGCCAGCAAGGCTCAGAGATCTGCATGTCTCTCCCCCTACAGTGCTGGGATTACAAGTGTGGACCACAACACTAGGCTTTTTTTAATAGGGTTTTAGGAATCCAAATCAGGTCCTCCCACATATGAGGCAAACACTTACTGACTAGTGTCTCCTCATTTTTAAGCTACAAATCCAAGCAGACACTGTGACACTGCCACTGAGTGTCTCTACCTCAAGATGGTGAAGGTGTTCCTGCCCGTCGGGACTGTGGTCTGAACCGCAGTCACTCCACAGGGCACTTCCAATTCATCGAGTAGCTGGGCTTTAACTTCATCCGGGCTCATGCACAGGCACAGGTCTCCTTCCAGAAACACGCCAGCTTCCTCCCACGGGGGGTGGTTAGGATTCACAAGCATCACTTTGTCGCCATAGTGGATGAATCCATCTTTGGATACCGAAAGCTCCATCTACAATTTTCACAGGAATTTTCCAATAAGTCCACCAATTCCTTCACTGCTGAGAGCAAGGCCCCACCCGAGTGCACCTCCTTTCTTTCTCAGACCGGCACCATTTCAATAACGCCTGCCCTCCCTCTCTCCCTCCGCTTCTTAGTGTCCTTCCCTTCCGTATTGTCAAGCAAGTTCCCAATGACCCTACACAAGGGCAAATGAAGCTGTCATAATTCACATAGGTAGGTTCATTATCAATTCGTTCAAGCATTTGTGAGCAGCAACCTGAAAGGCACTCTACTGGGCAAGCATTAGTTCATCCCTTTATATGCAAACATGATTAAGTAAACACAATTAAGGGTGAACTTCCCTTTATGTTCCTAAAATCTTGGGGGAACTTTAAACACTGTACTTTTCAGTTTATTTTTTTAAAGTTTCCAAAATGGTTAGTTGTTTATAGAAATTGTCCTTGCTTAACTCACGCTTAATTTGACAGCAGTTTGAAACTGGTGTTGGAATTGGAGATTACCGGTCTCAAGAGGTTCTTTTTCAGCCTTCTGTTCCTCTGTATGAGAAGTTCTCCCTTCTCCCTCTTCTCTAGGAAGTCTTTCATGCGCTCCTAGGGATGCAAAGACAGAAAATGGGGGAGTATAGGGCCCAGCTGCTGCGCAGCACAGGTACTGGTAGCTTTTCCCTCCCTCGGAAGCATCTCAAGTTCAAAGTTTGAGAACACAAAAGGAAATGTGATCGTGATGGAGATGGCAGAGATGTCCTCAGCATGTCTCGTGGGATGGTTAGGGAAAAAAAACCTGAGCCCGGGCTGTGGTAGTGCACACCTTTAATCCCAGCACTTGGAAGGCAGAGGCAGGCGGATCTCTGTGAATTGGAGACCATTCTGGTCTATAAAAGCAAGTTCCAGGACAGCCTTCAAAGCCACAGAGAAACCCTGTCTCGGAAAAAAAAAAAAAAGAAAAAACTGGGAAAAAATGCATGGAGAAGAAAAAGAGAGAGCCCCTGTGCGTATCCAGTCTAGAAACAACCAGGAGTGGTATTTGGAGGTCAGCAGTCTCTACCGAGGTCTTCCTGACTGGGATGAACATATGGAAAGTCCCTCACCCCAGAACCTTCCCAACACGTAGGGGTGCCCCAAAGCTGGTGAAGGCAGAGAACCCGGGAGGAGGCGAGCTGTGCTTGCTCTGGATTCAGGAATGGTGAAGCGGGGTGCGGGGGAGCATTCAATAGGGCTGAGTGCGTAGGGGACACGGTGAGGCTGAGTGAGAAGAGACTAGGTGCTCAGAGCAGCACAGAGGGAGTATGAAGGACAGGGTCTGGGATCCTAGGAACGCGGCGGCACCCTGCGCACCTCCTCCAGGTAGGCATTTTCGTTCCAATTGCCCATCCGGACTCCAGGACCATACAAGTTCTGTGCCATCTTCCCTGCTCAGTCAGAAAGTCAGCCTCCCCGGACACAAGCGTTAGCGTGTCCCGTTGCCATGACGACCAGGCAGCTCCCGGTTGGTCAAGGTCCTCTCAGCTAGCCAATAAGTGACAGCACAGCAGGTGTGTGGTTCCGCCTTGGGCTGCAGCACTCTCTCCACCTCACCCCGCCCCTCCCATCACTGACACCGCCTTCAACGAGGACCACCGCAAAGCAGATCCGGAAACCTGGAGAAGGACACTGTTCCAAGTGCTCCCTAGGAGGAAAAGTTTTGAAACTTTTTATGTCGTTTTTCTTGAGTCTGCATCTAGATACATACTCCAAGCTGGTCTTGAACTCATTACGTAGCACAGTCGTCTCTTAAATTAGAGATTTTCCTGACTGCCTTCTAGTGCTGGGATAATACGTGCGCATGCTACAATTGGAATAAAATGCTTTTTGCTTTTTGAATTGGGATCTAAGTTAAAGAATTCTGAAAGCAGAGTGCCTCTAGCTTTCCAGTGGAGTCATGGTTCAACTCCAGCCTATTTTTCTAATCGCGGAAAGCAGCGATTTCACAAACACAGCACATCTTCACTGTAGACACTGAAAAACCAAAACATAAAGAGGGGGGGGGCAATACTCAAATTTCACAGTTTCCAAAGAAAGAAACAAACCACTGTGCTAGCCTATTTTTATGTATACATTTCTGAGGTAGTCCATATTTTCATGGATTTTATGGCAACCCTCCCCTCAGATATCCAAATGCAAGGGCAAGCCTGGGACTGAGTTCCAGGCACTCTTGGTAAAACCGAAGTTTGCTGTAGCCAACATGTCTTCAAGAGGATATTGTCTTCTGAGAAGGAGGAAGAAGCACTTAGATAGGACTACCTGGTGCTGGCTGCTGACTGAATGCATTCATTAATTCTCCAGTGTTCAGTACCTTCTAATGCAGGGGAGAAATGGAAGGTGGGAGCCAAAGCCAGCTAACAGGGAAGCCAGATCCTAAAAACAAATTGCTTCAGGAGTTTGTAGTACACACAAGTCACTGAAGAAATGATGAAGAAGGGACCGGAAGTGAACTGGGGGGCTTATGCATGAGTCATTTCTGCCCTGTGGGCTGTGCGAGTGACAACTGGCCAAGCTTGCGGGAAAGAGGGTTCCTTGTAGACCTGGAAGGACCTGAACTTGGGAGCTGCAGCACGTGACACAAATGGAACATTGTGGCCCTCTGCGGCTCCACTGACTGTGTCCCTCCATCACCACATTCTAAGATATTTCCAAAGACATTACACTGGACCAGACACACGTCATTTGGGATGTGTGATGAACTGGAAACAGACTCAGCGAAGCTAGCAGTATACCTTAGTTCAAACTGCTAAAGCCAGCCTTGTAGCACATGGTGAACAATAGACAGCATGAGTAACTGTTCGCACAGGGTCATCTGAAAGCAGGCTGTCGCCTGGTGATCTCGCAGCAGTGTCAACAAAGCACAGAACCACATGTCTCTGTTGACGCTGGTATAAAAGAAAAACCTGTGTGCTGTCTGCTAAGCAAAAGCACAGCATGCACAATTATGGGTAGCACATGAGCCTCGTTGTGACACTAAATTACTGTTACTGGCTTACTACTTACTGTAAGGTGCTTTTACCTCTATTTAGAAGCTATGCCTCCTGCTTATTACAGGGTACTATGTAGCAGTGGGGGGGGGATTTCCCCGTCAGCAGTCTACTGCGGCTACACTGGAACATCTCCAGACTGTTTAATTTGCTCTTGGGCTGGTCTGGTCACTACCACCAAAGTGTTCAACGCCAATGCTGATGTTGGAGAGGAGTTGACGTGGAATGACTGACCTGGAAACAAAGATCAACGTGAATTTTTTTCTAAAATCACAAATCAATAATGGTTTATTTCTCAACATTCAATCATGTCCAGATTCACTACAACTGGTATTGAAAAGCATGAAAAACATTGGGGATCTGGATTCACTAAAGACAATATACCCCTAACAGATATTTGCAGAGGGCCAATTGCGGATATGGAGGAACTTTAAGATCCTGGCTTGAACACCTAGTACTGATGTTTGCACAGTGAGGCAATACATCCCTCAGAAGTATCCCTGCTCCAGCCTGCTGGCATAGGCCTGTAATCTCACCACTCATTATGTGGAGGCAGAAGGGTCAGGAGTTCAAGGTCATCCCTCAAGCACAAAGTAAGTTTGAGGCCAGCCTGAGCTATATGAAAATTATCCCAAAAAGGCATGGACATTGCTAGAAAGATGGCTCAGCAGTGAAGAGCAAGTATCACTCTGCCAGAGAACCTGAGTTTGGTTCTCAGCACCCGTGTTGAATAGCTCTCGTCTGCCTGTAACTCCAGCACCAGGGAATTTGATGCCTCTGACCTCTATCGGGCACATACCTGCACACATATCCACATATACACCTACTTAAAAATAAAAAGATTTTTAAATCCCTGTTGGGAAGTATGAACAGTCAGATGTCTGTGAGTCACAGGCCAGCCCAATCTACTTAGCAACTTAGGGCTACACAGTGAGACCTGATCTCAAAGCTCACACACGCACATACATATACACGCAAAGACTCTTACATGCAGACTTCTGACTCTAAAGCCAGTGTTGATCCTCCTAAGTGTTTTCATGCTCCCCACAAAGTTGGGTACTAAACAAGGAGACATTGAAGGCATTGGGGCTGGACACCTCTCTCACAGACAACAGCCTATAAAATAAGGACTGAAATAGCAGGATTTTAATTACCTATCAGAAGAATGAGACCTGATTCCTATCTCTGGCACTGGAAGGAGATGAGATATCCTAAACTGCCTAGAAGGTCATTAACGGATAACAATTTAAAACCGACTCCAGGAGCCTTGACTCTTACAAGATTACTTTACATCAGGAAGCTGTCTCATAAAGAACAAAAACATAGCACTGTTCCTTCCTGCGGGAGTGGCCCAACAGGGTGTGCCAATCACTTGAACAAGACAAAGTCTCTCAAGCCCTTTTTGAAGTCATGAAATATTTAGTTTATATATAATTATACAAAAATTTTCATCTGCATTCCTTTAAAACCCCCAAAACCAAGACTTAATCTTACATGTATTCACTCACTAGTGATCCTGTGTGGCTGACTAAGTCTGACTTTAGTAACAAGCCTGCCCCTCAACACCCTCTACTTTACAACTGTGATCTTTGACATAAAGCACCCATATACTAAAAAAAAATATTGTATTTGGTGTGTGTGTGTGTGTGTGTGTGTGTGTGTGTGTGTGTGTGTGTGATCTGATGAGGCATAGGAAACTTTGACTGGAGTCTTTTATTAGTAGTAAGACATCTGGTAGACAGAAAGAGAAGCCAGAGAAACACATAAAAAGAATCAGGTTCAGGAAGGAGAAGGGGAACAAAATCAGAGCCAGGAAAGAAAACCAGGAGATGTATGTTAAAAAGAGTATAGAAGTCCTCAGTGGGTATGGCTGGCATGCAGGTCAGCCCAGGGTCGCACTGAGAAAGCCAGGTAGGATAGCTATTCCACAATGCGGATGTCTCTAGGCCTCAGAGTTCTCCTTACTGGTAGAAACGGGAGGTTACTGTACTGCCAACACTCTGGAAGGCATGGTTAAAATAATCTGCAATGTGTTAATAGATATAAAAGAGAAAGAAATGTGTTGTCAAGTAAACATAGGTGGGAAGTAAGGAGGATTCTTGATCCCAGAATTCCTCAGAGTCTTGGGTTCAAGGCCCTGGAATCTACAACAGAACTTCAGACATGCAACACAGCCCAGGTTCATTTCAATGTGAAATATGCTTCCTTGGGGTCATCTTGTCAAATTAATATTGTAAGAGGCACTGACTATACTTGAGGAAAATGTTTGAGACAAAGTCTTGAGTAGCCCAGGCTGTCCTCATGGTGTAGACAAGGATGGCCCTGAGCTTCTGATCCTCCTGTCTTTACTTCATGCGTTCTAGGACTCCAGGCACACACCATCACAAGGGGTTTGTGTGATGCTGTGCATTGGATACAGGACTATATGTATACTAGGAAGCACTCTATCAATTGAGCTAAGGACCCAGCCCACAGACTTTCTTTTGAGACTTACAAATCTTTGTGGGGCCCCAAACTGGAACTTACAATCCTCCTACATGAACTTTCTAAATTCTGGAATGACAGGTGTTCCCCCACCACACCCATCCCAGCACCATGAAACAAATTAAAGAGGAAAACTGCTGCCCGCCAGACAGCTACCATCATGAACACTATTGTAGTGCAGCCCATTAGGCTAACTGGTGTAACCAAAGTGCTGAGCAGGACAAGCTCTCAGGGACAGTGCGCACAGGTGACAGTACTAGGTACTCCATCACATGTAAGGTGAAAGGTCCACTATACAAAAGTAATGTGCTCTCCCTGCTAGAGTCAAAACAGAGGCTTGGAAGCTATGCTGAAGTTGGTGCTGGGTCCTAGGTATCCACCTACTTGGCCCATGGGATGAACCACAACTGTTAAACAAAGAGTTTGTACTGTATTGGGAGAGCAGGGGAGAGCGGGAGGGAAAGGAACTAGGTTTGGGTTCACAGTATCAGAGGTTCGGTCTATGTCACTTGGCCCCGTGACTGCTGGCCTGTGTTAAGGCACAGCATCATGGCAAAAGAGGAAGGTGTGGTGAGACTGAGCTCTTCATCTCAAGGAAGACAGGAAGCAGAGCTGGGAAGGGGTCCTAGACCTGCCATCATGAAACTGTTGTAGTGCATGTAGGTCTTCCCTGGGGACAGGTAGTGACTAGGCCCCCTAACTTCTACAACTAAGTTCCAAAATAACAACAACAACTTGGGGACCAAGCTTTCAGCACCTGAGCCTAATAGGAGACAGTTGATATTCAAATTATAACACCAACCAAGTGATTTTTGATACTCAAAGGACATGACAATATAAAAAAAAATTAAGACTTGGACACAAAGGGGCAGGAATAACAAAAAAAAAATGCTTTCAGGCAAAGAAACAGAGTAAAGAGAGACCAGAAATTCATACAGAGCAAAATAAATAAAAAGGGAGCAGAGAGGAAAGGCTAAAAAGACCTTTGGCATTAAGGCAAGGCCTGTGGATACTCTTCTGTAGGCAGT